CAAACATCATTTTGACTTTCTGTTACTCTATCAAGAAGAGATCTGCAGGCTTTTCCAGGAGAGCTTTGTCAAAAGATTTGGAATAATTGCGAAAATATAGAATAGAAATAATTTATAAGAAATTCGATGCCACAACACTGTACCCACATTTTTCCCAATCTTTCCTCGTTGTACTTTAGAACTACATTCAAAGAAACCTTCCATAGGCACTCTTTCTGGTAGTGGCCACCTGACAGCTGACCATGAGAGAGCACCTGTGTGCATGACTGCAGTTTCAGATGATGTTCACATACTCCTCATAGGGCTAGACAAGATTTATCTTGTGCAGGATAATTCAAGTGCTTCAACTGAGGCTCACTTGCTCAGAACTTTTCAGATTCTTCTGGCACAAGTGGAGCAGCAGCACTCAGATATTCACTTGTTTAAAAATTCATGGCAAATGTGGTGGGGAGTGATGAGTAATGAGAACAGCGATCACTTAGCTGCTTCTTTGAGCAATCATAACATTGAAATTCATAACCACAATTTGCACCTGCAAAGAGTAATGAACAGCCACCTTCTGAGGAATAAGAGAAAACCTGCTTTGTCCCTTGCAGAATGTCACTTCCTGATATCACATACAGCTAGAAAGGGAAAGCAGTATGTTTGGGTATGAGGGAGACGGCAGAGCACCCTTCCGTAGATAACGTTTCTAGTCATATCCCTCTCAGACACTTTGAAAGTTTACCATGACATAAAAGCTGTAAGATGTGGCTGTGCAGCAAGTGACTTTTGCACCTTGCAAATAGCACAGAGCAGCTTTTACTTTTACTCTAGCTAGACTCATGTTTAGGAGAAAGGCTACTGTTGGTTTCTGCATTTGCACTGATGGAAAATGGAAGCTCTGAGATTTTCTTGGATATATAACACCTCTGCAGAACTGGTACTAACAGAGAAATATGTCACAATTGCTGGCACTTCCAACAAGCTGGAGATTCAAGCAGATTTGTTTTTACAGTAAAAATATTACATGTCCTTCATAATTTTACTGCAGAAGACTTAGTTGTCTTTAAACTCACATCTGCAACAGGGCGTATTTTGCGGGATCCCAGGGTGTAGGGCTATCTTACATGAACATGGGAGAGTAGCCTACAAGATGATCCCACTATTGCTGGAAGCTGGCTAGCAGTTCAAAATGGGTTGCCATTTTAAAGCACAGTGATGGGACACTTTGGCTTAAAAGGGAAGGAAAGAGAAAGAGGGAGATGGTAAGGAGAGCAGCTGACATGCTAGCTGCTATGCAAGGTTGACCTGTCTGCTAATCAACTTACTACTGCATTCCAGATTAATGTGCTAGAACATTTGAGCATGTAAGGGAAGCTGCATAAACATGCCACATATTGAGATAGGGATTTGTTTGGTTTTCAAGTCTGTTATAAGCACAAGCAGCTGTGAGGTCTTTCCCTATCAGAACCAGTCCTACAATGGCATGTTAGATCAATGAAAATCTCAAAACTGTTGCTTGCATCAGCACAAAGGGCCAGTCTCAACAGAGATGTGTGATACAGAAAAGGTCTTGATTGAGGGCAAGCTCTTCAGTGTTACTGACAAGGCATGGACAGCGCTACTGCCAATAGCTCAGAGGCAGAACAGGGCTTGAAAATAGGACCTTGCATTTGCCTGACATGATATTAGTCAGCTCTGGGAACAAGAATAAACCTCAGGTATGTCTCAGTTCATGATAACGATGGCTTCCATAACAAAGGAAATTATAAAAATGCTGAGCAGACTATCTGATGGTGGTTCTGGCAGGATTAACTTTTTAATAAGAGAAGGCTGGTAGGCAAAAGGAATGGGGTGGGCTGATCCATATCTTTCTCTGTGGTGTGTTGATCAGACTAGTGCGAGTCAATCATGTGAGTCAACTATCAACTCTATGCAAATGCACGTTTATTAGCATTTAATACCAAAATCCTCCTGCATCCCTCCAGGTATGGCTGAACTCTGTTGAATGGCTAACTTCTGTCCTTTGCTCTGTTTCAGTGCCATCTCATAGCTTTAGTTTTAAGCCTTTGATAGGTCTGTTGTGATCCCACTTGGACATTGCTTTCCATCTTCTTGAGCACACCTCATTGTTTCCGTGTCAAGTGTGCCCTTTCAAACAGTGAGCGGTTCAAAGACGGCTGCCTGGGACCAGATGAAAAATAGCAAATGGGAGGAAAGCAGGAATAGAACAAAACAATAGTTTTGCTCAGCAGCCAGGCTGACTTCTGCAACATATGTGGTGGCTGCTAGGCAAAGGTAACATCCGGGTTCCACCTGTAGAGAACATGAAGAAGGTTTAGTGCAGAACAGCTTGGGAAAGCAGGTGGAGGCTGGGAGAAAAAGATCAGAGCACAGAATAACAGCAGGGCTATTACAGTAACGGAGCTACCCCTGGAGGTGAAATCACTGATGTTTCTAATGGACTGAAAATGCCACAGCGATCTGCTATCTACACTGCTGTAAGGAACTGGGCTCTGCGAACACAGCTCGCTTACAAGGATGCAGCCTTGTGATGTAGAGACAAGCTCGAATTGTTAGCTTTTTCTTATTTGATATCACATGCTCTAGGTGATCCTGCTTAAATGAGTTAACTATCAATACAACATGATACTGATCCATGAATGTAAAGAGGCAGCAAAATTTTGCCTGTATAGAACAAACACACTGTGCATACCAAATTCCCTGGCAACAACACATTAGACAGAACAGTTGAGCATCACTGCCCTAGCTGGACAGAAATGATTATACTCCCATCACCAGTTTGTGTATGTATTTTAGTTACATCCACATAGTCCAAAGTAAGGATAAGTTGTGCCCAATTTTGTGCACAACAATGGAGAAAAGATTTTTTTTTTTTAGTATTTTTTTTTTAATTCAGGAATAAGATTTTGAGATGGTACCTACTGAAGTATTGATTTCAGTGCAAGTGTTCCTAGGACAAGGTGATGCCTGTGCAGACTACAAGGGCAAGGCAGCAGTGAAAACACCAGAAAGTGTGAATGAAGAGTTTTAAAACCTGATGGTAGCACTGACGCGTGAAACTATAGATGAATGCTTTCCTCCACAAATGATACAGATCAGCAAGAAAAAATAAAACTAACAAAATAAAAATAATTAAAACTGGATTATTATGCTTAACTATTGAAAGAATTGCCTGGATTTTTCTCACTGTTGCTGGAGAGGAACAGGCACAGCACAGTGAACTGTGAGAATGTTGCAAGCTAAACCAGAAGTTACTGGTGGAAGACTTTGCAGAAAGTAACTTAAGACCTTGACTGGGGCTCAGCTGAGAGGTAGATGAAATTACAATACACATGGAAATTGTCTTTCTAAAAAGAGCCACCATACCCTTAGTGATTTTACCCAGCACTATGCAGCATGCAATAAAAACAGTAAAGAGCCTGTTACTGCCAAGCTGCTTTTTATTTTACAACTTTATCAGCATTACACGTACTTAGCAGTGCACTGCATACCTGTAGTCTGCTGTGAGGCCTGTAGGTTTTATATCCTAAAGATATGCATTATATTGTATGTAGGTTGTATATCCTGAAGATATACCATAAAGATTTGGTGGTATAATGCTCTCATTATACTATAAATGTTAATTTTGAATGTGAGAGTAAACATAAGGCAGTCTTGAGGCAGGAATTTTTAATGGTTCACATAGATTTAAGAGCTAGGTCTTCAGGGCAAATTACTGCTTTTCATCTCTAAGAGGTTTACAAATGACGGCACTATCAATGTAAACTTTCAGCCCTGCACTATCAAACGTTTAAAGGTAATTGCAGACAATTATAGCAGATTTTGAGGGTTGTTGAGGAGTTTGCATAAATACCATGTTTAAAAGGTCTGCATATAAATAAAAATGTGGATTTACATAGCTGTCATCTTGAAATGTTTCTAAAAAGGAGTCTCCTAAACAAAACTATGTGTGACAAGAGACAATTCCAGATCCAGTAGCAGAAGAGAACGTCTCGAAGAGATACTCTTGTAACTAGACAACCCCAATAAATACCTTCAGAAACAGCCAGGCAGCAACGTTAAGAAAGAGGACAGCACTAAAGGAGACAGCATCTGTCATATAACTAATTAAACACGTGTCCAAACATGTTCTGCCTTCTTCTTATGCAGAAAAATGGGTAAAGTAAATGTTGGAAGTTGCGACTGAAAATAACAGTTCTGGGAGAAATGTCACAGAAGCAGGAAGGTCAGCGCTGCTCATGCCACTGCTGGGAACTGGGAGGAGATTCCTCTGGCAAGCAAAGGCAAAGCACACTCCTGCTGCTGCTGATAAAAACCGCATAAACACGAGTTTTAAAGCATTTCTTAAGAACCAAACACTTTCATTACTCAGAATTCCCTGGTATTACTGGTAAAAATAAAATAATGAAAATGTTCCATTCAGTAAAGAAAAAAACTAAAGAAGGAAGTTCCGATTTTTGCTTGTTTGCAAGAAACAGAAAGTGACTTTTCTTTCCCTCCCCAACCCGAGATGATTTTAAAACACGTGTTTTGGGCTTTTTTAATATCAAATACATTTAGAATGAAAAATGCTGGGAAGAAGGAGAAAAAAAAAGCCTAGGTGGGAAAGCGCTCTGGTGATTCTAATGAGTACATTCTCGCTCCCTGTGGAGAACGTCTACCAATTCGTAGAGACCCGGAGCGACCGGTGCCTGCGTTTATCCTCTCTCAGGCCTCACGGAGACCCGCAGCTCCCGGCCCAACTCGGACCCGGGCAAGGCGGGCTCCAGGGTGATGATTTCCATCCAACACCGCACCTGTGCAGCCGCTGCGCACCGGTTTGCTGTAGGATATGAGGAGACCGGGATGAGCACCTGAGATTCCCGAAACGAAACCAGCTCCGGGGTGGGGTTGGACAGGGCCGTTCTCACCCACCCCGGGACCTCCCGCCGCTTCACTTCCACGAGGCCGAGCCCAGAACAGGGAGAACACCGCGTCTTTACGGCACATGAGCCCGTAATCCCTGGCCGCGGCCACTGCTGCTGGGGCTGCGCCTTTAAGGGGCCAGGGGAGGCGGTGGCAGGCGGGATCTTGCGTGCTGGCGCCTCTCCCTTCTTTCCTCCCTCCGCCGCCGGCCGGGCAGTGGGCAGTGCCCGCCGGCCGCCGCGGCGGGTGGGGAGCGGGGAGCCGCAGCAGCCTGCAGCCATGGCTGTGCCCCTGCGCCGCCAGCTGCCAATGCTCCTGCTTGTTCTGTTAGCAGCCGGTGGGCTGCGGGCGGCGGAGCGGAGCAGCAGCGCCATGGAGGAGCTCGCCACCGAGAAGGAGGCGGAGGAGAGCCACCGGCAGGACAGTGTGAGCCTGCTCACCTTCATCCTGCTCCTCACTCTCACCATCCTTACCATCTGGCTTTTCAAGCACCGCCGCGTCCGCTTCCTCCATGAGACCGGCCTGGCTATGATCTACGGTGAGTCCCGCCGCGCCTCGGCCAGTGCTGCCCTCGCCTCAGCCCCGTTCTTCTCCTCCCCTTCCCCCGGGCAGCCGGCTCCCTGGGGGCCGGTGTCACCTCCGGCAGGGGCGCCGGCGGCGGGGCCCTGTGCTCGGCTGCGCCCTCGCAGAACCGAGTCAAGGGGCGGGAGGGCTTTGGCCTCGCGCCCCCATCGCGGCTGGCGGGCGGCAGCGCAGGGGTAGGCCGCGCCCGGAGGGGGGGGGCACAGCCCATCAGCTCCCGGATCCCGTCACCCCCCTGGAGCCTTTCCTGTGTGAAAAGAGCGTGTTTAAACTTCGTTGTTGTGGGGTTTGCTCTTGACTGCTGTCATGCCGCTGTTACCGGTGACCTGAGTTTGCTGGGAACCCACTGACCGCAGTGGTACCAGACACCCTAGACAGCGCCCGCAGCTCGTCCTAAGCCCGCCTGGTGGAGTAAGGACTGTACTGAATCGAGTTTGTCCTCTCCAGCTGCCTCTGTGTGTAAAGGGAAAGTAAATTTCTCATCAGAAGCGGTTATGGGGATGATGGTTTGGAGGAGCGGGGCTCTGCGCCGGTGCTATTGGTGGCTGGCGCAGAGGACCGCAGGTGAGCCTCGGCTGGTGCTGCGGAGGACTCGCTCCGCTGCGAACGCGCGCTGTTGTATTCTGTGTGCAGTTTGCTACGCAGCATAGACTGTTGCGATGAAGAGCAGCCATCCGTTTAAAAAATGATTTGTCTGTTGGTGATTGGCTATTACCGTAGTACCGAGGGCATTTCTTCTTTATGAGCCGAGTCGGTTCCTGATGAATGGTGTGGAACACCTACCCGGTGCTGGTCGGGATAAACATATTGAGGGTAACCACAGATGAGAAATTCAGCACTCGAGGGGAGGGGAAAAGAGAACTATTTCCTCCCTGATGAGTACTACTGATCTTGAGAGCTATATGATTGCTTGCAAAGCAGTGGAATTTTCCTCTGCTGATGCTTCTCTTAAGCCATCCCAGTTTGCTCTTAGTCACTGATCTCTTTGCTGCATTGCTGTGTCTTTCACATATGCTTGTTGCTAAAAACTGGCAAATTAACAATTAGTTCTACACTAGCATGGTACTGCTTAGCTGCTGAGTAGTGCTCAGGAGGCAGTAGGTTAACTGTATGTGTGCTGACAGGAAGAGATGGGGTAAGGTTGTATTGAAGATGTTGTTTAGATACTACGCTGGTGTTGTCACCCTCAGAAAGTTCACCTCTGTTCTATGACCATTAGGTGGTTTAGTTTATGGTGGAAATCCTGTGTATGTGGGAGTGCTAATGTATGCAATACAAGTACCAGGGCACTCAGGGCATTTGGGTATGTGCTTTGATGAGCTGTGTGCGAAATAAGAAGCTGTTCAACTGGAGAACTTTTACCTCTGGTGAAACTCAAATTAGTTTACTCTAATATCCAGTTCCTGATCCATGAAATGAATGCTAGATTCCCAATTTAATATTCAAGTGCTGAAATGGTGTATTAGGAAAGGTGCTATGCAGTAGCCATTTCTGCCCATAGGCAACACTGCTGAAAAAAGGATTGGCTCTAACCATTGCATATTCTTGGTGTACCCTTGCCTGAATCATTTTCTTTTTATATATTATTCCTCAATACACTCATCTTCTAAATGAGTCCCTCTAGTCTACCAAGATACATGATCTTCTCTCTCCCAAAGAGACTCTTGCTGTGTTGTGGTAAACATCTAAAGAAACATGTTTAGTGAGTTCAGTTCCTTTCTAACACGGTTAACCTTCTTGCCAGTAAAGCTCTGCTGAGGCCCAGCTTCACTTAAGCATTTTGCAGACTTCTTTTAGAGCAAAGAAAAGGACATTGCAAGTGTCATAATAACTGTCTGTTATGCTTCTGATAACCAGGTTTCATTCTTCAAATAAGAGCTTCTCTTCTTCCTTGTCACTTAAAGGACAGTGGCAAAACTGAGATGGGTTTCTATTTTGCTGATAACTTGGTATCTGAAAACTGCATGTTGTGGTTTTTTTGTGTGTGTGTGTGTGTGTTTTCAACTATGTATGCATTTAAGAGGCATGTATTTGATCAGTCTGACTTAAGCACAAAATCATTAGGCAGTATTTCAACCAGAGTTGGTGTGGTCATAAAAACATACACACCAAACAAGCAAACAAAAAAACAACCAACAAATAACCCCCAAACAAACAAACAAAAAAAGAACACACTCAAAAAAACCCGAAAAAAAACCAAACACCCAAATCAGTTCTGGGTGTCTAGGTGCTCTCTTAAGGATGTATTTAATAATATGTTAGTGGTGCAGGCTCCAAATTCGGCACACTAGGTAATTTTCATATGATTTTATGGTCAAGACTACAGCACTTGTACCACTTGCATTCAACTTTTTAACAGAAAAATTGAAGTGTTTCTATCACAGTGGTTTCCAATGCTACCCAAATAAGTGGCCTTCATTTACAGAAGTAAGTCAACACTTCAGTGCTGATTAATTTTTATTATGGAGACCATGACCTGGAAAAAGCTGGCTTGTTGCACCTAAAACCCCTCAAAAACTGTTGGTCTCAAAGTGATGAATGTTTGTATGATGGTATTGGATGAAATGCACGTTTGACTTGAGCTAGTTACAGCTGCAGGTCTTGATGGTTGCTAGTTCCTTTTGCTCTTTAAGAAGAGGTGATGGAGTTGGGTTTCTTTTCATCTAGCCATGATTAATTTAATGTGCAACGAGACCTCTTTCAACGAGACTAGAGTAGGCATCAGATAGCACAACACTGGCTTGAAACAGTGAGCAGAGAAGCTGCTTCCAGAAGCCAGGCTTTAACCAGAATCCAAATTTGCTGTGTTGTATACAACTTCATTGTGCTAGCTGCTTTGATTGAAGATTAAAGTGTCATTAAAGTCATTATGTAGTCTTTCCCTGTTTCTTATTTCCTGTGTTGTCACTGTTCTCCAACAGACAGTTGCTGCTTGTCTGTCTATGTTATTCTGATGTGTAAAATATCTTTCTCTGGAAATGTCTGTTGAGATGTGAACTAACACAGAGCTTATATGGGTGTTTATTGACTTGCAGCCTTGTTTCCTCCCCTCCTTCCTCGCCCCCCCCCCCCCCCCTTTTTTTTTTTTTGTGATGTGCAACTTAATCTTGTTTGTGCTGAAGCAATATGAAAACTTCAGCTGCGCATGATAGATCTGACAGTTGTGTATGTGAAAGTGGAACGACCCTAACTTTTTTTGAATGTCTTAAAATACCTTCTGGCAAAAGCTGCAGGTTCGGGTGCAGTACAGATTTGAAAATAAATATGCACCATAGCACTGCGCTATGATCACCCACAGGTCATTTCATAAGATGTACTTGGCTTATAAAGTGCTAAATACGATTGAATCTGGTCTTGAAACTGTAACAAGGGGGCTGCTTTTATGAAAGTTAAATACTTGCAAATGCTGTGCAGGTGCTCCAGCAGCAGTGTTACTAATGTAAGTCATTATGGAGCAATTAAAAAAACGCAAACAACCATCCCATAACAGAGAAATTAAGGAATTGAGACTTTGCTGATACATGTATTCCAGCCTGTGATAGGGATCATGATGCTCCTTGCCTTTGTGCTGGTCTGAGTCCCAAGGATAAAGCATCGTGAGCCATGTTTTACCTGAAGACGTTCAACAGAGGTGAACAGCGGCTCTGTGTTTAGCAGGTTTCTTCACTCTCTTAGGAGCATCCTCATCTGGTAGGGCACCAGAGGACGTGGACTGTGCACCTCAAGAACTCTAGGAAGAGCTTATAGATGGGAAGTGATGGCGGGCTCCCAGCACCCTCTCTTTAAGAAACAGCTATCTGGATAAGTAGATGTGTGCCAACAGATCCAGAGATATCACTCCCATTAGGCAATTAGTTTGCCCCTTTCAAAAGCAGTAATTTGGATGTCAGTCCTACCAGGTACCTTCTCAACTGTGGTGTTGTTCTGGAAGCCACATGTGCTAATGCTGCAGGTAAAAGTAAAAGCAAAATTGGACTTCAGTGTGGAGGGGGAAAATATATGAAAAGGCATGTAAAACTTCTATTACCTTTTGTGGATCACAAATGAGAGATGAGGTAAAGGCTGAGGATGAAAACATCTTTTTTGTTCTGAAATACTCAGTATCAGTCTAAGTTTCTGTATCCACAGAGTAGATACAGAAAAGGCCTATTTTTAGCTCATGTGGCTGCAGCACTGTCTGTTACAATTTTAGTCTCTACGCATGCTAGAAATGACCTGACACGTCTCCCACAGCCATCAAAATAATGGCAATGTTGGTATTTAATAAACTACTTTCACACAAGCCTTCTAATAACAGATTTAGAAGCATAACTCTCAACACCTAGTTTTGAGAACATCTCACTTTCTCTGGCAACCTGCTTGTTCTTCCTGGATATTCTTTCACGGACTTTCACATGAGTCTTGCGCAGTTTGTTGGCTGCTCAGGACGTTTTAACTGTATTGCAAATCTCATCTGTAAGCTTGCTTTGTGGTCTGTACCCGGATGGAGCTTATTTTATCTTGTGAGATATTTTAGCAGAAGTGCTGTGTATCTGTTGTTAACCTGTTAATCTGTTGTCAGATTTATTCTTCAGGTGGGATAGTTGAATAGTTAAAAATCGCTAATATTTCTGAAATGTCTTTGAAGTGTAATAATTCAGCTGTATGATTCAGCTGTAGTCCTCAGAGCACAGAGCAGTGATTTTGTGGGGGTTTTTGGTTGTATGTGTTTTTTGGTGGTTTTTTGTTGTTGTTGTTGCTTTGTTTTGGTGTTTTGATTTTTTTTTGGGGGGGGGGGCGGTATGTGGTCATGTTGGGTTCTTTGAGGTAGGACAGAGGTTTTAATAGCAATAAGTTAAATTAGTTCATTTTTGTTTGTTAAATTCAGCTTCATGAAATGTTCTATGAAATTAGCACCAGAATATCCTTCTGATTACCAGCATGATCTAAAGGAGAGAGAAACGGCAAGCCTGGATT